TTAAAAGAGCACATTCCGAATTTTGGTGATATTTCACAGGAGAGACGCTAATTTCAGGTAGTCTCCACTACTGAATTTTCCGGTCGCTTCCGGCCTCCTTCAAGTGCTGCCGCCGGATTTGCTGCGATCGCATATGGGATGAAGCCATCTTTTTCGGGTTCAGCCAGGATGAAGCTTCGAGATTGGCTAGATTAGGTGAGCAACCCAAATCTTGATCTTTTATGCCACGCTAACTGCCTCTCTTTGCCTCACTCTATCTCTCTCACTCTCTCTCTCTCTCTCTCTCTCTCTCTCTCATAATCATGCTCCCTATTAGGCTCCGGCTCGGCGGTTCGCTCACTGGACGGCGGGCTGGTTCGTTGGCGTCGTGGGACTCGAGCTGATGGTATTGATTCTGTGGCTGAGGTAAGTAAAAATTAATTAGATGTAATTAGCACTGTCCGTCTTCTGTAAATTTTTGGAATCTGTTCTCTTCGGTTTTTAAAATAATTGCTCTCCATTTAGCAACTCTTCCCAGCCAGTCATTGGCCCTCGTTGAGCCCCTGATTTTTGTGGCAAACGATCGGGGAGAGGAAGGACGGCTCGACCAAGGGAATGCAGGTATCGAAAAATCATAAAACCACAGTAATTCGTGCCGATTTTTTGGATGTTGACGAAATATATCCATAGTAATACAGCCATAGTGATATATCGAACCTGAAATTCCCCACCTAGATGTGAATTTTATAGATGACCGTTGAGACGAGCAGCCTACTTCAGGAGCGAGTCGCTGGCGTCGATGAGGCCATCAATAGGTATCATTTTTTTTTGAAATAACGAATAAATATAAAAAAATAGTGTTTGTGTGTGTGTGCCACTTTGCATGCAACTTCCGTCACCATGTCCGGAGGATATCTCGATAGGGGAAGGGTATTAAGCGACGTATGATAAGTCATTAGGTGCGTAATGGTTCTGGGATTACTGCACGTTTATTAGATTTTACAAAATTAATTGCTTTAAACATAACATATTAGTTTTTTTGTAATAAAAAAATAGTGTCTGTGTGTGTGTGTGTGTGTGTCTGTGTGTGCCACTTTGCATCCACTTCCGTCTGTCTGTCCGGTGGATATCTCGATAGGGAATGAATTTTAAAGTACGTATGATACGTCATTAGGTGCGCAATGGTCTGGAGATGACTGCACGCATATGAGATTTAGCAAAATCACCTATTTTCGACATTAAATTTAGGTTTTTATGAAAACTTCTTTGTTAGGTATAATTAGCATAGACCGGAAGTTGGGATTCGGCTATATAACGGGATGGGAGAGGTTGTTTTTCAGTTTTTGTCGTCTAAACGCAGGAAAATTATGCAAAGTGCAGGATAAAATGGGGTCAGACGGGGCCAGGGTTGAAAAGTCGCGAAGCGGCTTTTCAACCCTGGTAACATATTAGTTTTTGTAAAAATTTCGGGAACCCGCGTTGTTAGGAAATAATTAGCATGCACCGGAAGTGGCGGTAGCTTATATAATCAAGTAGAGAGGGTCATTTTTCATTTTTCCTCATCTGGATGCGAGAGACGTATGCAGAATAAGGAATATTATGGGGTGAGACGGGGCCAGGGTTGAAAGTCGCGAAGCGGCTTTTCAACCCTGGTAACGAATAATATCCAAGTTTTATAGTCTAACCTAAGCGTTCGCTGCCAAGGATTTCTCTAAACTTGCCGAGCTGGTGATGAAAGAGCGCGATAACTTCCACGCGTGTTGTTTGGACACGAAACCCCGTTGCCGGTATGTTTCGATTCAATGCGAAGATTTGGAACTGAATTATTTAAGTCATACAATCCCATTTTTTACAGTACCTCAACGACACGTCACGGCTGATCATCGACTTGGTGCACCGTTTCAACAGCAGGAAAAGTGAGCCTGGCCAGAAAAACGAGAAGCAACCGGAAGCCCTTGGGGCGGCGTACACCTTCGATGCGGGCCCGAACGCTTGCATCTACATTGAAGAGGTAAACCTATTCTAAATTCTGGAAAATTACAATGAATTTTGTAGGCTACCATGTGCGAGTTCCTGAAGTTCGTAACCAAACATCTAAGGTTTTCGCCGGAAGCCAAGGCCAAAATTCAGGAGATTCTTGGTGAAGACGTTGAGGTATGAACGTAATCGGCTTCTCACTTTCTCTCTCTTTCTCTCTCTCTTTCTCTCTCTCTCTCTCTCTCTCTCTCTCTCTCTCTCGCTCTCCTGATCTCTTTAACGCTATTTTTTTGCAGACACTCCTTGACGCGCCCCTCATCCTCGACCTCATCTACAGCACCGTGGGCGGCGAGCCGCAAATCTTGGCGCACCAGATGTCTTGAAGTCCTATATTTTTCACACCTCCTTATTATTAGAAACCTTATACCTTCACTCGAGCTTCCTCCGCCTATTCCTCATATCTTGTGCTACCTTCGGTTTATTACTGGTTTCTATACCTTATCCGGTGCTTTGTTTGCCCTGGTTACCTACCGTATTACCTGTGCAATTTCACTCCTTCTAATCACACTCAGACCTCAAAAGTCAGACTATTTTCCCTTGCGTTGTTCATTGAATTGGTCTCAAAGGGTGAGCACCAAACCTCAGAGTAGTAAGGTCCACTGTATCCATGATTAGCCACGTGAATTCACTTATTTTCGATAAAGCCTATTCCAGGAAAATCGCAGAAATATAGAGCGAGAGAACTTTTTGAGTGGTTAGGGTGAGAGAGCGCGAGAGAGAGAGAGAGAGAGAGTGAGGGAGAGACTGGAAATTTGAAATGAAACCAAGCCTGTCTGGTTCAGATTTTTACGCTGATTCCCAATCTGTTTTCAAAATTTGCGCAATGACAATTTTTGAAAACGTTGCAACGTATTCTGATGTTCCACAATGTAAAAATACCATCACTTTAATGGACCATGAAAACGGCGGAAAAATCTTCTGGAAATGCTAGATAGCAGGATTTAATCCTGCTAGCTCTTCTTAGCCCGCCAAGAGTTTTCGATAGATACCTAAATCGTAAAAAATCCGGCACTGCTCCGTACTGGTAGAAAGGGTCGTTTTGTTTGGGGATACCCTGTAAATTTGCACACGTTAACTTTAACTCGTTCCAAAATTTGAGCTCCCGAATTCGCCAGGAAATAAATATCGCAAAAAACAAGACGTTTTCAGGAAACACCTGCTCTATATTGAGACACCACACGTATTCGTCTCTCCATACTGCCTTGGCGCCCATTATCGAACCACAAATGGAGCTCTTCGTGTACGAGTACCCAATTTGCTACGTGTTTTTCATGCGGCTATCGTCGATCGCTCTGGCTCCATTTGCATGGTCTTTGCCGTGTATGTAATATTACGGAAATCTCCGACCTTCATGCATGATTATAAGTATCATTTGCTTTACTATCAGGTAAGCCGATAGAAGAATAAATTTTATACAAAATCGATCGGCTTCCAGGTGTGGTCAATAACGTACGAAGTGTTTATGCACGGCCTTGAGCCGGAGTTGTTTTTCCCGGCTCTTATGGCCAGGCTTACCGGGTGGCTGTTTGCGCTTTTCGACTTAATATTCTAACCGCCTGGGTAGGTTTTTAGGATACAGAGGCCTATATTGAGTGATTTGGTATCATAATGTCGAAAATCATAATGTCGAAATTGCACAATGTCGAAATTTCATAATGTCGAAATGTCAGAATGTCGAAAATCAGAATGTCGAAATTTACATAGGCTAATATTGCCGGTGAAACCAAGCGGAATCCCAGTCAAAAAAATTTTTCCACATGCTATTTTTTTATCTTATTTCACGACAAGATTTTTTGCTTAGAATTCGGGGACTTTACCGCGAATTTTAGCTTACGTAAATTTCTACATTCTGAATTTCGACATTCTGACATTTCGACATTATGAGTTTCGACATTATGAATTTCGACATTTTGAAAATAGGCCATACTGAGTACCTAGTGGCGTACAGGGTGTCCCAATAAAAAACACCTTCCTCTAAATCGACGCAAAACGATCGGACCTGAATGGTTATGATGCCATTCCAAAGCCCTTGAAACGGCGAGTTTGCAACAATCTTCAAACTCATGTCTTTATTTTACAACGTATTTAAAAACATTAAGGAACGGTCTCTGCATCCAATTAACGGCTACTTCCGGTCATTTTGTATGGAGAATTTGAGGCAAGCTAGCTTGTATGCAACCCTAAAAACTGAAAAGTTTTATAAAATGACTTGTAAGATCGAGGCCTTAAATAAAAACATGGTTTTGAAGATCTGCTATAATAATTTTGCTGTGGTGTCTGTCCGTCCGTCATGTCCCGAATTCAACTCGAAGGGGGAAGGAGCTGGAGCTTAGCTCTCTCCGGATTCGGATGGGGAGCGTGGTCAGAAACCCCAAACTGATAAAAAAATTATGAAAAGGTTTTAATTTAAATTATTAAAATTAACTTTGAAAGTTTTTTCCTTAGTAAAAGGGGTGGGGGACGGAGGTTGCGGGTGATTTTGGACATAGTGAGCCAGGTCGCGCGCGTTTCGTGGATGAAAATTTTCACGGGGGATTTCATTTTTTTTCTCTCATTCCATTCGGTCGGTCGTTATTTTCGTTTTTTAAAAGGATTTCGGCTAGGGGAGGTATCTTAAGCCATCGGGAAGGTATTTAGGTAGTTTTTGAAGGGGATTTCGGCTAGGGGAGGTATCTTAAGCCATCGGGAAGGTATTTAGGTAGTTTTTGAAGGGGATTTCGGCTAGGGAGGTATCTTAAGCCATCAGGAAGGTATTTGCGTAGTTTTTGAAGGGGATTTCGGCTAGGGAGGTATCTTAAGCCATCGGGAAGGTATTTAGGTAGTTTTTGAAGGATTCCGGCTATCGGGGGTATTGATGGAGGTGGTAAAGGATGTAGTGGAGTTGGACATGTAGGGTAGTGCCTGAAGGTCGATGGTTGCAGTCGCGAAGCGACGTAACCATCTGGTTGTTGCAAATTTGGCGTTTCCACGGACTTACGAATGGT